TAACTGTCACTGCAGGCGCCAGCGATACCTCAGCCGTATCCTTCTGCGTCGTGTAGCTCGGCCGTAGTACGTGTAAGGCTTTCAAACGCTCTCGAACGAACGGGAGCTTCAGGAAGTCCTTCATCTTCTTGGCTGTAACGTTGCGAGAATGGTAGACGTTGGCTCCAGACCTGGTGATCGCACTACGGGCCATATGCTTCCTCTTCCGCGAGCGGGGTACATGCCACTGGTTTGACCGCTTTTTTGCTTGGTGGCGGATTTTGTTTCTTTCCAAACGAGTCGGTATAGCGGCCAGGTACTGCTGGGGGTCCAGCACCTCATCCGGGCTCTCCGAAGGTTGCGTGCTATCTGGAGAAGAATCCTCGCTCTCCGCACTTGTTCCTGGGTGTGAGGAAACGGGTAGTGTGTTAATGCTGGGCTCTACACGCACAGTCGTAGTGCTGGGCGTCGAAGTGGTGTTCATCACCGATTCCAGAGACTCAGAATCAGAATCAGGAGCTGCTAACTGAAGAAGTATCTCCATCGGAACTTGTCCTGACACCTTTTCCTCGCTCGCAGGTCCTTCACTAACGTCTGTGCGCTCGCCTCCACTTGTTGCGGGTGGCTGAAAACGTAATTCAGAGGTGCTGGAGACACTAACGTCTCGAGCAGCTTCGGAGACTCTTCCAGCGAAGTTTGCTGCAGCGTGGGTGTCCGCCGCTTCTCTCTCCACTCGTAGCTGCTGCGCCCCTGCAGCAGAGGCATCGTCAACTGCTTGTCGTATAGCAGATTTTAAAATGGTGGATCTCGTCGGGAGATCCACAGAACCATCCACTAGTTCGTAAGTCCTCATCTTTCTCCACACGGCGACTTCAAATGGTATGCCAGAGATGTTGGCCACGCGGGCGCATCATGTGCGACAGGCTCCAGGATCTCGCCGATGTCCACACGTATCGGATAATCCACGTCATTAAACTGCGCGATCCCTCAGAACGCGGCTCTTGCGGTAGCCTCTCGCGTCTCCGGCAACTAACGCCCGCGAATAGTACTGGATCAAGTCGCCGGCTCGGAGAGTCTCGTGTGGTAGCTCGCTGCGCTGGAGGCGTACCATACTGCTGGCGCTGGTGCGGCAGGGTGATCACCGAAGCCTGCACGCGACTGCCAGGTTCCGATCTCGTGGGCTGTTGATGAGCAGCGGCAGCCCACCACATTCGGAAGACATTTGCTTCCTTGAACTTCGACGAACTGGGGGCCTGTCTCTCTCGCTAGGAGTGCGTCGCGAGGCGTGCAGACGCAGGGCAGTCCCGTCCACGACGTTTTGTGGGATGGTTCCGTGTGTTTTTCAGATCTTGTACATGTGTTCCTTACCGTTTTCTTCGAATCGGTCGCCGAAGGAATGTGTCACCTGTACATTAAAAAGTGAACGCGGTGGCATATGCGGGTATTTCATTCACAGGTGGCCAAATGACGTCAATGCTAGACAGTTTTCCTAAGGTAATTTAAAGGGCGTGTTGACGATAAGAGCTTACGTGAGGTGAACATAATTCGCAAGGAGTTGCCCAAAGCACATGTCCTTCTATACAAGCTGTACGTAATTAAGTGGCTTCATCATTCGATTCGAGATCGCAAAAGATTTGGGACCTAAAAAAAAGACAGATGAAGCTCACAATATCAAACAGAACGCACGCCGAATCCGAGAAGACTACAAGATGCACCGAGCTGACTTTGAATGTCTACTTACTAGAGAAAGGCGCCCAAACTTGTGGATCTACTTTCCAACTAAACTGGGTCACATGCTGTGAGTAATGGGTGATTGCGTATTGCGTGTCACTACGGGAACCACACTAACAACAGAGTAGGAAAACTGTTAAGCAAATTGAAGCAGCAACTCTTGATGAAGGACAATATCAGAGCGTTGTTGCAGCATTAAGCTCGAGTTGAGGAGGAGTACCAAGCTAAGTTGGGGATACCTCGAACGCTGCGAAACCCTTCGTATTCCGAGGAGGCGAAAGTCGAGTTAGGTATGACGATGCTCTGGGTAGTGGCTGCTATTAAGACGCAGTGTGACGTCGCTAAAGACAGCTCAATTTTCGATGTGTATGCGATCAAAGACAATGGGGACACAGTAATGGGCATGCGTGGTGAAAGAGGGCTGCCTTTTTGAAGGAGACATGGGAGCGCGACTGCAAGCTTTCCATGACAATGAAGCTTCTGTGTCGGCATGCTATGACTTACCTCGTAAGAACCATCCTCTTTTCTTTCTCGGCTACCAATCCACTAAAGATTCATTATAAATGTCCAGGTTCAACCAGGTTTTTTTAAGTGTCGAGGAATGTATTTGAAAAATTAACCATTATGATTGATTTACTTATCATAGAGGGTATTGGCAAAACCGGCTGGCGCCAGACAAGAAGACGGTGATTGACGCCTCGTTTGTAGAGAAATCTTACAAAACCTACAAATTCAGCTTTGATGGTACGACAAGCGACGGACGGCTTACTGTAGTGGGCCGGAGAAATACCGCCGCTCATTGGTCGCATCAGCGGCAAATGGGCTCGATTCCCCAAAATGATTTTGAGCGAGCTTTGACAGCCTTTGACCAGTGCGAGTACGACTTGTGTCTAGGGCGTGCTGTGATTGAGTCTGTAGCTAAACACTTCCAGTAGAAAAAGGTAATGCAGACCCAGATAGCGGGTCGGGCACATTATATTCACCTGCTGGACGTAGATGTGATAGCGGAGAAGCCGATTAATAATCTGGGAAATCGGCTGGTGACGAAGCACTAACCCGGCCTTCGGGGCTGAAACCCAACCATCAACTGCAGCAAAGTGAGTCAGTGCACCGAGGGGAAAGCGTTGCCGATAAATATGACGGGTGATATCCGATACGTTGGCCGTCCGAATTGAACAGCGGTTTCTTCGTCGACGTTGATGAATCCACTCTTCCCCGGACGGATCAAGTACTAGCAATTGTCGCCAACGGCAAGCGGCTGGGAAGTTCTGATGGAGTTTGAGGAGACTGGAGACTGTTGTAAAAGTGACAGTAGGGTGTAGCAGATCGACGGACAGTCGGTAATCGTAGAGGAGACTCGTGCGCTGATTATCAGAAGTTGGAATGAGCTTCTGTATTAAGAGCTTACAAGGGACGCATACGATACCTACAACAAGCAAGGCGAAAAAGCCAAAACCATGATTAGCTCAAGTGAGCCATAGCTTCCTTCGTATGAGCAAGTGAATGTTCAACTCGATGAGAGCCAGCCACATCGATTTCAAGCTGGTCTGGCGTAATCGAGTACAAGAAGGTACCAAAATTACCTTTGATAAGTTCTAAAGACGTGTCGAAAGCTCGTTGCTGCCGACGCAGGATGATATAAGTCTTAGGTCACACCAAAACGATTTACATGGAGTACTCACTACGCCTTCTTTCCATCTGCTAACCTTTAATTCTGGCACAAATATTTGCAAGGAGAAGACGCCAAACCACTGCGTGAACGTCAATGTCATCGCGGCGACCGTCTGGTATATGGGCTTGATTTAAAATCTGACGGCCGGCATCAGGAGTAGCATCGGCTGGATCAGGTGGAAACTCAAGATCTTCGACCCAAGATAAAAATAAAGTGTATGAGGCACGAATTTACTGGGGGATCATCTATGTAAACGGG